CGTCAATACAGCTGCTCTAAGGCAAAATATTAATTTGTTGGAACAAGTTTCACAACCAATACCCGCAACACATACGGATGGTAATAATACTGCCTCAACTGGACCGGCACGTCTATTGTTTAGTGGAACAGGCCGAATAAACCCAGATGGTTTTCTTAACTTGGAAGAAACTCTTAATGACAGAGAAATCAGTGGATCTTCTGGTAGAACAATGGACGTACTCAGAGGGCTGAGTGTAATGTTGCCAAGTGGTATTATCGTTGAGTTGATTGCATTTGGAGAAGGGTTTTTAAAACAAATCACAGATGGAGAAAAGTTTCAAGATGTCATAGAAACTATGGCCTCAAAACTTCCCGAGAAAGTAGTAATTTTTGTTTTTGAGTTGACACAACATTTTATGGAAGTCATGATGAGAGAAATTGCGAGTGTTTTACATTTTTACATATCCACCGAGTCGGTTTTATATCGTATTCTAAAATATATACTTACAAGGCTGGAGTTTTTCACCTATGACTATATTGTCACAAAACGCCAAGAAATATTACTATATTTGAGAGAATATTATCTCTCATTAAACTCTAATAATACCCAAGCTACTTCTACGAAATGTAGTGAATGTCACGGATGGTATTACATATGCCAGTTGTAGTTTTAAAATGAAATTATATAAACATCCATGACAGGAAACTTATTTGGTGCCTTATTTACAAACACCACAAGCGTACTCATTTTTATTGCACAAACTATAGAAATAGATTAAAGCGGAGCTTTTAAAACTCTAGATTAAAAGTGAATAAAAAGCAATAAAATTATTGTATACATTTTATGCGTAATATGTTTTTAGTTCCCAAAAAAAGTATTTTTGCATAATGTTCTAATATTTACATAATATCATATCCAAATAAAATCCTTTGTTGTTTTAATTAAACTCGTATCACTTCAAAAATTGTATGCCGAATGGATTACACACTTTCTGAGTCGATTTATGCATGTCCGTCCGTCCGTCCGTCTGTTCATGTATTTTTGTAAACAAAGTACAGGTCGCATTTATTGTCCGATCCAGATGAATTTTGCAGAAATAATTTGTTTGACCCAAGGACGAACCCTATTGAAATTGGAGATATTCGGTCAAAATTTAGATACAGCTCCCACATATATCTTAGTCCGATTTGCCTTTTATTGTGCACCAAACGTGTATTAGCCCAAATATTGTGAAATTCTGCACATGTGACCAGATTAGGCCTGAAAATAAGTATGCCAAATTTTATCGAAATTTTATCGTATAGGAGCTAAAGCTCCTATATAGATTGTTCAGCTGATTTGTTATTTTTATCCTCCACATGCACTCTGCAACAACGATATTTGGGGAAAAATACCAAATACAACTCATAAATACCTTTACTAAATTTCATCGAGATCGGTTCAGATTTGGATATAGCTTCCATATATATCTTCGTCCGATTTGCCTGTTATTGTGCACCAAACGTTTAATATTAGCCCCAATAGGATGGAATTTACTTACTTACGACCGAATTGAGTCTAGAAGGTAGTATGCCAAATTTGGTGAAGATCGGTTCAGATTTAGCTATAGCTCCCATAACTATTGTTTTGTTGTATTTGTTACCCGTAATATGCACTCCGTAACAACGATATTCAGGGAAATATATCAAATACAGCTCAGAAATATCTTTGCCAATTTTTATCGAGATTGGTTCAGATTTGGATATAGCTCCCATATATATCTTTATCTAATTTCAAATTAATTTAGCACCAAACGGGCAATATAAGTCCGAATTTAAAAGATACAAATGCTTCGGCATATTTAGTCCTTTGAATTTTAAATTATACTTATAATCATAGGGTGTATGATTGAATTCTCCCATAAAAACTTTTGTTATGTGAAGCTCTACTAAATTAGCAAAGTAGTGCAGGGTATCATAAAGTCGGCTCCGCCCGACTTTTTACTTTCTTTACTGTTTTTTTTTTTTATTATTTTTTTACCCAATTGGAGCCAAACTTTAATAACAATTAAAAATGTAGCTAAAACATAAAAATACCGAATATAGGGTGGTACCGTTATATGGGGGATATACGACATCTTGGACCCACATAGACAATATTTTTCCATGGGGTAAAGCACTCAGAAGAAACTTCTTTTGTGGATTTTCGGTCAATTTCATTGAACGCCATAGATGAAAAAAAGCTCACACCGTTTTTTTTCTAAAAAATTCGGATCACCAGATGTCGTCTTTATCGATGCAGGGGTATGCGTTAATTAGGCCTTGACGGCGATCGTTTAATATGAATGTAAGTTTACACCAATGCTATCATTTAGTTGTGAATGCTTTGCTGCTTCGTTTTACGTCCTTCGTTCCACGCTCTTTCTAAATAGTCATGAATGCTTCCAGCTGATTGCATTTTCACCATGTCTCATTCGTAAACAACAGAGGCCATCGAGGATTTTGCTTTCTCTTTATTTTTTATCGGGCCATTCTTATTTGTTTCGTTGGGGACGACTTTCATTTTGGTTTTCCAGAAGCAGATGTACACCTCACCTCCTGACAGGAAGATCGAGTGCTTTGGTCACATCTTTTGTTTTTGGCCATTTTTCCTTTACTCTTTTTAAAAACGTGTAGTGTTTTATAATTTATTCAAACAGTTATGCAGCAAACAAGTGAAACAAACTCAGGAAATTCGGATTTAGCATCATCAATTGGAGATTCATGGCAAGACTTGTTAAATATTACCGCAGATCCTCCGGAGAGAAGAACCAAATGTGAATCTTGCAAGTGAGTTGGAGTTGGAATTTAGTACATAAGGCAGCCAAAGACTTATTGTTATTTTATTGATTGATTGAGTATGAGACTTCCCCAGGTTCTTAGGACCGGCTTGTCTTCCACACATAACTAGGAGCAAGTTATCTATACCGTAACATGACATGATTTTACCACTTTTGGGGCTCAACAATTAATTTGGCACCAAGAGTTTTCACCAGACATGAGGGGTCCACCAAGAAGAAGTACCAAAATTTCTAAGAGCAAATCAAAAATTACAAACACTACTGTATGTGATATGCAATTGTTTGTTGGCCTCAAAGGCGCCTGGCTTTCTGAACAGCCTATGTCGCTCGTACAAAACCAAAACTCCTTCAGGGATGCATATATTGTGACCTGAAAAATATTACAATTTTTATGTGCCCAAGGTCCCTTTATCTGTCCAGTAGCATGGATATGCTATCTTGAAGTCCAGAATGGGAAATATGTGACTCAATCGCCATTTTCTAGGCCAGAAGGTTCCCTCAAACGTTGCCTTATTTAAGATCTTATTATGGTTAGAATTTCTCAGAATACCTGACCTAAAGTTTCCGGTGCCGGGTCATAGTCCCCACGGACACAATCCCCATTTTTTCGGTCACCGAATTCAGTCTAGAAGCAAGTACATTCAATTTAGTGAAAATCGGCTCAAATATACCTATAGCTCCCATACATATGCTTCATCCGATTCGGTGTTTAAGTTCCCCACATTCGTAATATGCATTCGACAACAATGATAGTTGGTACCAGATATCAGATACAGCTCAGAAATACTTTTGCCAAATTTTATCAAGATCGGTTCAGATTTGGATATAGCTCCCATATATATCTTCAACCGATTTCGGGTTAATTGTGCACCAAATTGCCAATATCAGTCCAAATGACCTGAATTCTGGCATATCCTAGTACATCAAATTTGGTCAGCCCAAATTGAGTGAATTTCGGGACGTACGTTATATATCGGCTCCGATATATATTTTTTCAATACAATTCTTCTATATAGTTATCCTTTTTTGGTATAAATTATTAAAATCTCTCCATCAAATTTAGAGAAAATCGAATTCAGAATTGGATAAAAGCCAAAGTTTGATAGGAGGTATGATCTACTTGAAATAAATTCTTTTGTTACGGGAGCTCTACTAAATATGCATAGTGGTGTAGAACATCATGTAGTCGTGCCCGCCCGACTTTTGACATTTCCTTACTGGTTTTTGTATATAAATATTGTGGGTCTTTGAGATATGATACATTCTTTTTGCTCATGAAGGACACATACGGAAGCTATATTTTGTTAGTCTATTAGTCATTAAAACTCTTTATTATTGTCATTCTAGGCGCCCAAAAGTTGTCTGCTGGTGCTCATCACTGCCAAATCCCCCACTTGATATTGACAGTACTATTGTCATTATCCAACATCCTGCCGAAGAAAAACGTACACTTCGAACAGCTCTTATGCTTCAGTTGGGTTTGAAACCCGGCAAATGTGTTGTCTACAAGGGGAAAAAGTTTCCAACACCAAAAAATCAAACAGAATTGGAACCAATTCTGAAATCACAAAATTCATTGCTACTCTATCCTAGTAAAACGTCAGTGCCTTTAGAAAGTATACGTCAACAAGCTGAGCAGAGTGGCGAAGGGCCATTTACGCTTGTGCTCATCGATGGTACATGGCCGCAGGCTAAGGCAATGTATGCCAGCAGTCCGTTGCTGCATAGTATGCGTCAAGTTAAACTTATTGCCGTTGGCACCAGCGACTATATTATACGTACCCAACCCACAGAGGGATGTCTCAGCACTCTGGAAACAGCTGCACAATCCTTGGCTGTTCTAGAAAATCGTCCAGAATTGCGCACACTTTTGGTCCAACCACTACACACGCTATGCAAATATCAGCTGGACAATGGCGCCGTCGAACATCAATCCAAAGAGTTTCGCATAAAAAACAATCAATATCCCAAACAGATTGGTAAACGTTTAAATCGTTTACTGAACTACAGCAACATATGCCGACCAGAAGCCAAAGATGCCGAAGGCCACAATGAAGATGAACAGCATTTAAATGAAATTCGAAACTATACAACCTCAGTATCGAATAGTTGAAATAGCTTCCAAATGCAACAATAGCAAATAATTATTATTTTTCTTAGAATAATAAAACGAAAGTGTATTTTTAATGAATATTTGAAATTGAATAATAGTTTGTCTCTTTATTAGATGCAAGTGCAATGGATGCAGCACATGAAACTCCTATTGGAAATCATAAAACATATATCAACATCATTTGTTTTTTCACTTTAGTCCATTAAAGTGGTTGGTTCCTGGCATCCACCAAAGCTCTTATTGTTAAACATTTTGCTATATCATAGGCGCGTACGCAGGGATTTTTTTCATTTGCTAGAAAGTAAGAAAAAGAAAATGTTTGATTTAATGTTTTATTTATATTTAAGATCATTGTTTAAAAATATCTGTTTAATACTTTCAGAAGGATAAGTTATCCCTGTAGCAGTTGTAAAAACCAATAATTACGTAAAATCGGATAATACGACTAACTTTGGAGATTACAATTTTAAATATCCCATTTAAGACTCCCACCTAAGGATAGACGCAAAATTCAGCTATAGTAATACAATTCTTTTTATACCTTCAGCCATATGGCTAGAGAGGGTATACTAGGTGAGATGAAAAAAATGTAACAAAGTCAAACGCCATATTTTTACTTTTTTTAATTTTATTGAATCAAAGCAAAAAATATGTCGGAAATAGCATCAAATTCTAGAATAAGTTTAGACACTTTTGGCACGAATTATGGCTTTCAAACAGTCACACGCTGCCCGAATGTTGCTCTGCGGTATTTTGGCCCATTCCCGGCGAAGCGCTTGCTTGAAGTGATCGACACTTTCGTATTTTTTAGTGCCAACCTTGATTTCCAAAATACTCCAGACACAATAGTCCAACGGATTGGTATCCAGAGATTTTGGTGGTCATTGTGCGCTGGAAATGAAGCGAGGAATCTCATTTTGTAACTATTCTTGGGTGGCGCGTGCTGAATGCTATGGTGCTGAGACCTGTTGGAATGTCCAAGGTCTGCGGCCAAAATATTTGCGTGCCCAAAGCTTTAATACACCCTACAGAACATTTTCGCGATTTTCGGCATTTATTCTGATGCCACTATCGATTAATACGAGTGGAGAACGACCATTGGATGTTATGGCGGCCCACACCATCACCATGGCCGGCGCCTGATTTCTGTTGGCCAACCGAAGGTGCACATTTTCAGCTGACCTCTTTGGCAAGTAATCACGATCATTTTGTTTGTTTACAAACTGCTGGACAACGAGTGTTTTCTCATCGGAGAAAACCAAATTCGGCAGTTCAGCACTTTCGGCCAAGCGAAGCAACTCTTTAGCTCTTTTGAGTCTATTTTCTTTCTGTTGCGGTGTACGTTTTAGCACTTTTTGGAATTTCAATGGCTTAACCCTGAGCTCATTTTTCAATATTTGCCAAATGGAATATTGCGATATGTTCAGCTCACGAGTAATTTTTTTCGCCACTGCGACGCAGGTTTCGATCAAGTCGCTTCTTTACTTTTCGAACAATTTCTGCTGATGTTGCTGTTTTCTTCCGTCCACTTCCTTGACTTCGGGCTACGCTACCAGTATCACGGTAAAGAGCGATGGTACGAGACACAAAAGATTTATTCACATTTAAAAGCTGGAGTGCTCTAACGTTAGCCACTTCTGGTTTTCCAGCCAAATATAAAAAAATCGCACTATCACGCTTGAATTCCATCACGAATAACTTTTTTTCTGGAAAATTCTCACCAAAATGCTTTTGTACGCTTGTAAACATTGTAATGAGCTGTCACTGGAATAATTTTAACAGCTGTCGGACAAGTGGCTTAGAAATGACAACAGTCTGAAGTTGGTTGCAGTTTTTTCATCTCACCCTGTATACCCTGTCTAATTAATTTGAGAATTGCTTCTAGAGGAAACGTGTTCACGATGGAAAACAATATACCCTCTTAAATGCTGTGTAGCAATGAATGCTATTTAGACCTGTCTGATAGGCTTCCTTTTATATCCTTGAACCTCTCTCTATAGATCATGCTGATCCTTCCTGACACACCTTGGTTGGGGAGTTCTGTCCATCATATAATGTTTAGGAAAGCAACGACAGCATATGATTACGCTGACGTAACGGAGAACCTTCGTCTTGTCATGTAAATGGTCATTAGAGAGTCATTATGAGGCACCTTTTTACAGTACTTAGGACGGCATTCTGACATGTCTGAATAGTTTTTCATTGCGGTGCACATGTATAACTAGTAGGATCGTTTGCCTAGACAGGGGATAGACTTAATAGATTATTATGAGATATATGTCTAAGAAGAACGTTAGTGTTTCCATCTCCCACATACAAAAATATACCATGTTCCCCGTTTAATAACATGGAACCTCTGCTTCATCCTCACATAGACTACATTAGTCAAGACCACTGCTGTCAGACTTTGACGTCAGATATTTAATACTGCAGTTGCCAGTCAATAAGTCTAAATCGATTATTAGATCGGGCATGCTAATTGATAGAAATGAACAGGGTTTTTTGCTCAATGGCTTTAGATACCTTGCAGCCGTTTTTCAAGTGTCATCTTCTTCGATGAGAGTCTCAACTAAATGCGTAGCGGTGGTTTGACTGTCTAATCAATTGGTCGATTCCTAGGAGTTATCCCACTGTGTTGCTATGTTCTGGGACCCAACGAAACTTAATGAATTCTTGCAATTAAAAATGGTTTTCAACTCAATGACACTTGGCTTGATAGCGATAAGGCCGCCTGACGATCGAGATATATAGCCATTGGTCTTGTGTCCAGAGGAGCTTCAACACGAGCTGAAGTGTCTCTATCAAGGGTTTGTAATTGAAATTAAAAAAGGGGACAGGTAATCCCTATTTTTTTCGAACGTAGAACGTTGTGACAAAATTCGCAGTAGTTCCGATTTATTGGTATGTCCAGAATTCGTTCTTGACCAAAACTCGAAAGTGTAATCCTCTTACTTCCATAGTCTGAGTGCACTCCTTGCTGCTTGTAACTGAGCCAAGAGATCCAATTACTGGAAGATAAGCAATACATACAAAAAATAGATAGAGGTGTTTATTTTTCTATCCTCCACCATTCTAGAGAGGATATACTAGTTTTGTCATTCCGTTTGTAACTCCTCGAAATATTCATGATAGACCCTACAAAGTTTATAATTCTGCATCAGCGTACAATTCTAAGACGATTTAGCGATGCCCGTCCATCTGTCTGTTGTGCTCACGCTATCTTTCGAACAAAATTAAGATAGAAGGCTAAAATTTTGCACACATGTGTATTTTGCCTGTAAGCAGGTTAAGTTCGTGAATGAGCCATGTCGCTCCACGTTTTCGTATAGGCCTCCCAATATTCGATATTTTGATGATTTAAGCGACATCATTCGCTCGAATTGTTACAAAATTCGTATTTGAAGTTCATAATGGATACTACAGCCTATGAGAGAAAATTGCATATGAAGGTCCAGGTCTTGATATAGCCCCATATAAAGGTACCTCCCGATATTCCGTATTTTGATGATTTTATCGACATTATTCACTGGATCTGTTTCAAATTTGGTATTTAAAGTTCGTAATGGATACTACAGCCTATTAAACAAAATTGCATTTACAGGTCCAGGTCTTGATATAGCCCCCATATAACCGTACCTCCCGACGATTTAAGGAGGTTTTAAGCGACATTATTCACCAGAATTGTTTCAAATTTCGTATTTGAAGATCTTTAGCGACATTCTTCGCCGGAATTATTTAAGATTACATATTTGATGATATTTAGGGGTAGAACAGCCTATGAGAAAAAAATTACCAATACAGGGCCACGTCTTCGAATAGCCCCCGTATAAAAGGTCACCATTTAAACGGTATTTTTTCGGAACTTATTGAAATTTTTCAAGATTCTTCCAAATCGTGGAGAGTACAAAAAATTTGGCCCGGCCGAATTTAGCTGCATTTTAACTTATTAGAAAATTAATTTTTTTTTCTCGAATTTTCAGGTCCAGCAACATTTTAAGGTCTTTAGGAGGAAAGAACAAAAGGTTAATCGTTTGGTAGTCTTTGGGAAATCAGTGACTAGGTTTCCCAGCTTTGGAAATGAATGTCACTGTTACTTCTTTCCACAGACTGGGTAAGTAATAAAACCTGAGGCAAGCCTTAAATACTCACCTCCCTCCATCTCGCAAACTTCTATTGAATCCCCCGTTGCTGGCCAAATATTTAAACGAATTTTAGTTGTATTCAGCTTCCAGTTTTCCAATAGACCAGATTTTTCATACAGGCAACGTAAGAAACACTGCAATATTAAACTTATAGAAGCGGGGGGCGATAATAATGGATATCGTTATCTTACCATGCCGGTTTTATCGACGACATCAGGCAATTCAGCTGTTGTATTAAAGGTGCGATAGTGATCTGAAAAATTAGAAAATAAACGACTATCAGGTTCTCTATCAGGAGTAAAATAAGATATTCACTATAGTACTAAAATAAAACATTACATGGTGAGATGAAAAAACGGCAACTAACTTCAGACTGCTGTCATTTCTAAGTCACTCGTCCGGCAGCTGTTAAAATTATTTCAGTGACAGCTCATTATATTGTTTGCAAGCGTACGAAATCATTTTGATGAGAATTTTCCAGAAAAAAAGTTATTCGTGATGGAATTCAAGCGTGATAATGTGATTTCTTTATATTTGGCTGGAAAACCACAAGTGGCCATCGTTAGAGCACTCCAGCATTTAAATGTGAATAAATCTTTTGTGTCTCGTCGCTCCCATCGCTCGTTACCGTGATACTGTTAGCGTAGCCCGACGTCTAGGAACTGGACGGAAGAAAACAGCAACATCAGCAGAAATGGTTCGAAAAGTAAAGAAACGACTTGACCGAAATCCGCGTCGCAGTGGCTGAAACATGGCTCGTGAGTTGAACATATCGCAATATTCCATTTGGCAAATATTGAAAAATGAGCCCGGGGGAAAACCATTGACATTGCAAAAAGTGCAAGAGCTAAAGAGTTGCTTCGCTTGGACGAAAGTTGTGAACTGCCGAATTTGGGCACGCAAACATTTTGGCCGCAGAACTTGGACATTCCAACCGGACTCAGCATCATCGCACTCAGCACGCGCCACCCAAGAATGATTACAAAATGAGGTTCCTCGCTTCATTTCCAGCGCACAATGGCCACCAAAATCTCCGGATACCAATCCGTTGGACTATTGTGTCTGGAATATTTTGGAAAGCGAGGTTGGCACTAAAAATACCAAAGTGTCGATCACTTCAAGTAAGCGCTTCGCCGGGAATGGGCTAAAATACCGCAGAGGAACATTCGGGCAGCGTGTGACAGTTTCATTGGCCGTTTGAATACCATAATTCGTGCCAAAGGTGACCAATTCGAACACTAAACTTATTCTAAAATTTGATGCTATTTTCGACATTTTTTACTTTCATTCAATAAAATTAAAAAAATGTAAAAATTATGGCGTTTGTCTTTGTTGCAGTTTTTTATCTCACCTATGTTTCGCCACCGGAGCTAGAGCCCATTCCTAACTACAAATACCAATTTTTAGACAAATCCGCGAGAAAAATCATCAAAATACCGAATTTCTAACAAATCTGCTTGCAGATCTTTTTTCTTGTGTTCCGGTTGTGCGAAAGGAAATTAATGCTAATTCAGACCGCTGGCTTGAAGCAATGGATGTAGATTTTGCTAGATCGGCTAGGGACTTAGCTTTTTTGGCCTTCCAACATAACAGATGTCAAGAAAATTGGTCCACTTACCGCAGATATCGGAATAGGGCTAGGACCGTAATGCGCAGGGCCAAAAGGAAATTTTTTTCTAAACTCTTAGGTAATGCGAATTCTGCTGGAATATGGAAAATATTGAAAAACTATGGATGTGTAGAATCCGATAATACTGCAATTGACATTAATGTCAATGACATTAATAATTTTTTTGCTCTAAATAATTCTGTGCAGGATAATGAAGTTGACTTCTCTCAGTTTACTGACACAGATTCGTCCTTTTCCTTTCGCTGTGTTTCGGAAATTGAGGTCCATGAAGTCTTGAGCAAGATCAAATGCAAGTCGGTTGGTGTAGATGAAATTCCAATATACTTTATTAAATTGGTTTTTCCATATATTTCTGACTTTGTTCTACATTTAGTGAACTACATTTTAACTAGTTCTTAATTTCCACAAGATTGGAAAACTGCGCGTGTTGTGCCCATTCCAAAATCTAAAAATGTTCAGGGTCCGGAAGACCTCCGCCCAATTTCAATACTTCCAGCCATTTCGAAAATAGTAGAAGTTATTTTAAAGAACCAAATATTAGAACATACAAGCAGTTTAATTTGTGATACACAATATGCCTTCAGACGGGGTCACAGTACTACGCATTTACTATTGAGAGCCACAGATTTAATCCGTTTGAATCTTAACGAAGGCAAAGTTAATGTTTTGATATCTCTTGATATTTCAAAAGCTTTCAATTCAATAAATTTTTCACTCTTGATTAACAAGTTAAGACACACTTTTAATTTTTCATTGACTGCATGTAAGCTGATACTCTCATACCTTAAGGATAGGACTCAGTTTGTTTCTGTAAATAACTTTAAATCAAATTTGCTTTCCCTTTACAGTGGTGTACCGCAGGGTTCCGTATTGGGCCCGCTATTATTTATCCTTTACGTAAATGACTTACGTGCTTGCATTGACGTGGAATGTTGCACAACATTTCAGTTTGCCGATGATATATTCTTATTATTTACTGGTCGAGGAGATAATTTATCTTTGTTAGAAAATACTATCAACATGTGCCTAAATCAATTTTCAAGTTGGGCATCAGCGAATCATCTAACAGTTAACTCAACTAAGTCCAAAGCACTGTTGTTTGGCATGTCCAAAAATGCATCATCGAACTTAAACATTGTTTTAGGCAATAATATTATTGGTTTTGTTGAACACCATAAAGTTCTGGGTGTTACTATTGATAATGAACTATCGTTTAGTAACCACATTGATATTTTATCTGGCAAAATTTGTTTTTTATTAAGAAGAATATACGCATCAAATTTGTATATGCCTCTTCATGTTAAGAAACAGGTAGCTCATGCATTGCTTATGTCTACCTTTTTATATGGTATTGAGATTGTGTCAGGTTGCATTGGTGGACATCTCTCTCGGTTGCGGAAAATTGTAAATGCAATTGTACGCTTTGTCTATAAGATTCCTTTAAGAAGTCATATTTCTGATTATGTTAAGTGTTTTCTGGGTTGTTCCTTTAACAATTTCATATCTTATCGTATCCTGGTAGGATTTTATAATGTAGTTAAAAATGGTGAGCCTGCATCATTAGCAAGACTTTTTTCCTTTTCACATTCAACCAGAAACCCTCAATTGATTATACCTAGGATATGTAGGAATATTTATGCGCGATCCTTTGTAGTTCGGATTGCACGCGTTTGGAATGTGCTTCCACATGAACTTAGAATATTCTCGCATACTAATAATGTATTTAAAAGGAAATTGCGAATTCATTTGGCAATGAATTAAAATGATGGACTAATCTAGAGTTGTTGTTGTCTAGGACATTTATATATTTTTCTTTTCTTAATAATAGATGGCTGGGGAGCCAAGTAAAAATTATGTATTTTAGTAAAATGAAAGAGTTGTATTATTACTATAAGCTCAGGTTTAATTTTGTAACTAGTAATACTTGTATATGGTCTTATAGGCTTTGTATTACAGAAATGGATGAAATAAAATAAATAAATAAAATAAATAAATATCGGGATGTAGGGTTATATAGGGCTATACCAAAATGTGGACCTATGTAAACTGTGTTCTGTCACCCAAGACCCATTATGACCAAAAAATAAAAATTTTTAAACAAATCGGTGAAAAAATGTGGCGAAAATCATCAAAATACCGAATATCGGGAGGTACCGTTATATGGTGGCTATACCAAAACGTGGACCGATTTATCTCATTATCTAGACCAACGATCCTAGACACAATGCAAATTGTCAAATAATACGGGCTGTATCGTTATTTCAGCAGACAGACAAACGGGGACATTTTGGCCATAGGTCTCTATGGACCAAATCCGAAACAGGACATTTGAAGTCGATCTAGCGATATCCGTCTGTCTGTCTGGCAGGTGCAGGGAGTATCCGATTTGATTCAAACTTGGTACATCGTAATATTATTGTCAAACTTAGATCGAGTTCGGAGAAGGGCAATATCGGTACACTTCTTCTAATACCTCCCACACAAAATGTTAACATTTTCAAAAAAAAAAAACTAATTTGCTGCACAGAAAGAGAAAGGCTAATCGGATTTTGCTCCAACTTTGCAAATCCTAATATTTGCATCAGTGCTAGGCCAGGTGCGAAAATGGACAATATCGCTCTACTCCATCAAGTGCCTCTCCCACAAAGGGTTAACATTTTGAATAATTAGAGCACTTATGAAATGTAATGTAAGTGTCCGATTGTCTTCAAATTACTCACATCACAATATTTTAATTAACGGTCTGGTGTAAATATCGGCCCACTCCTTCTGGTACCTACCCCACAAAGGGTCAAAGTTTTGACTATTCATGAAGCTCATAAAACACGAAATTAAAATCCGATGCCAGTCAGACTCGGTACGTCGTAATATTTTAATCAATACAAGATTTTCTATACAGATGGTAGAGATCGGACCATTAATTTTTGTACCTCCCCTACAAAGGGTCAAAGTTTTTGAACAACAAAAATGATCATAAAATCCTAAATAAGCAGACGGTTCTCTTCAAATTACACACATCACAATATTCTTTATTAACCCAAGGTCTGGTCTGAAGATGGGATATATCGGTTCATTCCTACGAGTACCACCCCCACAAAAGTTCGAAATGTTGAATATCCATTAAGCTCGTAAACGGCGAAATTAACATCTGATTCCATTTAGATCTGAATATTTCCATCAACGCAGGATCTGTTATAAAAAAGGGTAGAGATCGGACCATTCCTTCTGGTACCTCCCCCACAAAGGGTAAGAGTTTTGAACAACCAAAACGATCATAAAATCCGAAATATGCATCCGGTTGTCTTCATGTTTCACACATATCATTAATTCTACAAAAACAAGATATGCTGTGAAGATGGGATATGCGGGTCCACTCCTTCTGGTACCTCCCCCACAAAAGGTCAAAATTTTGAGTAACTGCGAAGCTTATAAAATACGAAATTAACATCCGATTCCATTCAGACTTGGCATATCTCAATATTTCCATTAACACAAGATCTGTTATAAAGATGGTAGAGATCGGACTATTTCTTCTGGTACCTCCCCCACATAGAGTTCAAGATTTTGAAAAACAAAACTCTCAAAGAAAACGAAAATACAAAAAACTCTTGAAGTTTCACATATTCAAATATTTTTGCTAACGCAAGATCTGTTGCGGAGATGATATACATATCTGCGAACCCCTATATGGTACCTCATCCACAAAGGGTCACAATTTCCAATACTAATATCTGTCATAACTTGTTTCGCATGTCGGCTATTTTTACAACTTTCTATATCTAAATATATCTCTTAATCAGAAATTTGATATGAATATGCAATTTATCGGAATTTATGATTTCGCATAAAAGTGGATAGGTGGTCAAACTTTGGCACCCCAGCAATTATTACAGCCGGTGCATGTGTGTTGCCAGCAGTAAATGTTCGATTTCCTTCATGTTTTGCACATACCAGTATTACATGAAGTAGGAAAATTGAATACTTCGGTCCGCTATATCTGTTTCCACATTTTTCAAAAATTTGCACATATCGCATATAAAGTATAGGAAGTAGTCGATATAGTTTAAATTTGGCCAGTTTTAGTATTTATATCAGTCTTAGGTCAGATACGAATTGGGAAATACTGGCCAACTGCTTCGGAACCTCCCCTATAAAGGTTTAATAGTTTGAATAATCATAACTTTAGGCTGGGGGTATACATCTGCCGGAAAATCCGACTGATACTATTTAACTTGTTAACATATGATTTCTTATTCCAAAGGAAGCGTTGGTTAGCAAGCGCCACATACTTTGTGGTAGCAATCCCAAATGAATCACCGCAATTAAGTACAAATGATAGCAGCGCCGAAGATATCAATGGAGCAATTGAGGGAAATAATTCCTTTGATTCGATTTTCCCTGACTTCCCATTGTAAAATAATAAACAATGTGAACCAATTTCAAATACTGACTGAGTACCTACCATGGTAGAAGAATACAGGTAGATGCATCAACGCTTGGGAACATTAATAAGTCAAAAAATTTTAAATGTTATTTCAAATATAAGTAGATTTTTATATGTGTTCTTATACGACGGCATTCGGAGGTTATTATAATTCGCGGTTTTCAACAAGTTTTACAAATTTAAATAATTTTTCATTCAACATTTTCAATTTCAAAATTGGTTTGACAGTTCATTGTCCCAGCAGCTGTGTTGATGCGTCTACCCATATTCTTCTACCATGGTACCTACTGATACAGAGTTGCTACTGAATTCTCGAAGTGAGACTACCTCTCTAATTTTGTCATGATCCTTACAAATAGTAAAGCTGCTATTAGAGCCATAACGTCCACTACATTAAAAGGCAAGAAAGGCTTTGGGCTGCATAAAAACTAATAACAAATCTACATTTGGGCTTTGGGGGTATTATATGTATTGCCCGGTCATGGAGGAGTTTGGGGAAGCAAACTCACAGGCAAGGAATGCCGGAGAATTAGCCACAATTAGTTTAGAGGTGCGTTCTATTTCACCCTGTTTTTATTTTACCCTTAAAACATTCACTCATTTTTCATCTCTAAATTCTCAAATTGGCGCCAAAACACTTACCCATTGGTATTGAAAAACTGGAATTACAAGTGGCAATCACTCGATCGAAATCGATAATGTTTGCATCGAGATGGGAAGGTGTAGAGCTTACAATTGATTCCTCAGTGGTTATATATTCTTTTTCTATGATAAATTGATGCTCGCGTAGAAATTTCTCTTCACTGACGACGTAAATATCACCATTATCCTTGGCTTTTTCAACCGTACCTCTACAACTTGCAATGAGTACCAAACTTATAATGCAAATGCAATATTTCATACTCGTATGCCTTTTAAACTGTGAATGATTTAAGCTAGACATGGAGTTGCGTGTTTGATTTAAAGGGTATTTATAGCTTTTTAAAATCTCTAATCATGGTGTTACCACTTTGATTTAATTTTAAGCCCAAAATTTAGTATAGAGAAATTCGTGTGAAATCGTAGATCACAAACAAACAGTGAAATAATTTCCACAATAATGAGATTTATAAAGAGAAATAAGTAAAAAAATGCAAGTTCGACAGGACCTTTGAATACCCTCCACCATTTGAAATCAATTTGCCAACTCTCAAAAACAATAAAATCCGTTAAAAATTCTGTTAAAATCTTAAAAATACCGAATGTAGCTGTTATATTGGGGTGTATACGACGACATGGACCTGCATAGGGAACTTTTGTCATAAACCATTACAATATTCAAATGCGAAACTTAAAAAAATCGTTGAATAATGTGGCTAAAATCATCAAAATACCGAATATAGGGAGGTACTGTTATATGGGGGCTATACGAAGACGTGAACATGCACAGACAATTTTCTCTCTTAGGCTGTAGTATCCATAACTAATTTCAAATACCAAATTTGAACAATTTACGGTGAAAAATGTCGCTAAAACCATCGGGAGGTACCTTTATATTGGCGCTATACAAAAACGTGAACCTACATGGCCAATTTTCAATATCAAAAGTCCTGCAGACATAATATACATTTGAGTAAAATTTTATCAACCTACTTCATTACGTTCGGAAGCTAGAGTGATTCCCACAGACGGAAGGGCATCGATAAATCGACATAGAATTTTATGCTGCAGGGCATTCAAGTGGTCTTGCGCATTTACTGACATTTACATTTACTTATTTATCTGTGCGTGTGGGTCATAACCTTTATTATCTCGCACATTATCGTATGCGCCAGAGCACCAGATCACCGAATTATTCACATGTGGTGTTTTATGGCGACTGGAAAAAATATGTAATTTTAGAATATACAGGGTCATATAAAAAAACTGCAACCAAGTCGAACGGCATAATTTTTACATTCTTTTTAAATTTTATTGAATGAAAGCAAAAAATGTCGGAAATAGCATCAATTTTTAGAATAAGTCTACATTTGTTCGAATAGGTCACCTTTGGCACGAATTATGGCCTTCAAACCGGAAATGAAACCGTCAAACGCTGCCTGAATGTTGCTCTGCGGTATTTTGGCCCATTCCTGGCGAAGAGCTCGCTTGAGGTGATCGACACTTTGGTATTTTTTAGTGCCAACCTTGCCTTCCAAAATACTCAAGACACAATAGTCCAACGGATTGGTAACCGGAGATTTTGGTGGCCATTGTGCGCTGGAAATGAAGCGAGGAACCTTATATTGTAATAATTCTTGGGTGCCGCGTGCTGAGTGCAATGGTGCTGAGTCCTGTTGGAATGTCCAAAGTCTGTGGCCAAAATGTTTGCGTGCCAAAGGCTTTAATACACCCTCCAGAATATATTCGCGATAATATTCGGCATTTATTCTGATGCCACGGTCTATTAATAGAAGCGGAGAGCGACCATCGGCTGTTAAGGCGGCCAACCAAAGGTGCACATTTTCAGCTGACCTCTTTGGCAAGTAAACACGATCAGTTTGTTTGTTTGCAAACTGCTGCACAACGAATGTTTTCTCATCGGAGACTCATTGGAGAAATCCAAATTCGATAGTTCACCACTTTCGGCCAAGCGAAGCAACTCTTTTGAGTCTATTTTCTTTCTGTTGCGGTGTAAGTTCTTGCTCTTTCTGGAATTTCAATGGCTTTACCCCGAGCTCATTTTTCAATATTTGCCGAATGTAATATTACTATATGTTCAGCTACTGCGATGCGGGTTTCGACCATTTCTACTGATGTTGCTGTTTTCTTCCGTTCACTTCCTTGACGTCGGGCTATGCTACCAGTATCGCGGTAACGAGCGATGGTACGAGACACAAAAGATTTATTCACATTTCAATGCTGGAGTGCTCTAACGATAGCCACTTGTGGTTTTCCAGCCAAATATAAAGAAATCACACTATCACGTTTGAATTCCATCACGAATAACTTTTTTTCTGGAAAATTCTCACCAAAATAATTTTGTACGCTTGCAAACAATATAATGAGCTGTCACTGAAATAATTTTAACATCTGTCAGACGAGTGGCTTGGAGATGACAGCAGTCTGAAGTTGATTGCAGTTTTTTCATCTCACCCTGTATACCCTCTCTAGCCATATGGCTAGGGGCCTGGCTGTCAAACCAATTTTGGAATTGGAAATGTTGAATGAGAAATTATTTAAACTTGCAATAAATGTTGAAAAACTCGTATTATAATAACCTCCGAATGACTTCGTATAAGAAAACTGCTTATATTTGAAATGACATTTAAAGTTTTTTGACATATCGATGTTTCAAAGCGCTGATGCTTCTACCTGTATTCCTTTACCATGGCTGAGGATATAAAAAGGTAAAAACCGCCAAAATCTTCTCAAAATAGCACAACTTTTAAAAAATTTCTCATTCTCTGAAAAAAAATCGACAAAAGTGGCAACATCCCATTTTATGAACACACGCAATGAGAGAGAGTTATTTTTTTAAACAGTTTTTTATTTATTTGTTTATTGTACTGATAAATATACATAAATACTATATAATTGATATAATAGTAACAATATTACGTTATATATGTAATTGTTTTTTTATTATTATTTTTCTGAATACAAATATTACAGTTAGTAGTTGTACGGCTGGAATTGTAGTGTTTTTTTTGCTACTATATTTAACGATATAGAACGGAACATAAATTTTTGTGAATTTTTCTAGATTAGAATTAGGTTGGTTAGCATTGACATTAAATTATAATACTAAAGGTGGAGATTTTTGAAAAAAGATTAAATTTCCATATCCAGAAAGAAAAGGTTCGAAACAAAGAAAAATGTTGGCAATCTAAAAGAATTCAAAACTACTAACAAGATCTAAATAATCAAAATCGCACGTTACGTTTACGTCGCGCTTTGACTATTTAGGTATAACCTGATATCGATGACAGTTGGTAAGCCAGCTGTTTGTGACATTCTACCAGAGAGACAAATTGTTTGGTATTTTTAATAATTTGGTTATTCTACACACAAAAAACAAAAATGCTAGGATAGAGGCGCAACAGTGAACAGCAAAGCAGAGAGAAGTTACGATTAGTGACGAAATATAAAAATGAAAATTATTTTCCAATGCAAATTTTTTTGTGGGGGATTTAACTAAAGAAGATTCACAATCAATTTTTGTTCTCAATAAAAAATAAGACATCAAAAATAAAGCCTAAACATAATTACATTATTTTATATTTTTTGCAATAATTTTGTAATTATTTTTATTTTTTTTTCACTTTGTTTGTATTTTTTTTTTAAACTACTCTATGCAGCGTCCATGTTGCATCCAATCGTCAAACTTTGGCACCCCATGCACGCTTAATCATGTATGCACCCTTTTCAGCAATCATTACAGCCGGTGCATGTGTATTGCCGGCAGTAACCTTGGGCATAATACTTGTATCCATAACTCTGAGACCGCGTATACCATGTACTCTTAACTCATGATCGACCACCGCCATGGGATCGCTGGCTGGACCCATTTTACAAGAACCAGCTTGATGATTTTCTGGGCCAGTATTTTGCCGGACGGCACATTCCCAATATGCATCCGATCCAAAGGTTTCGGATTCACAACCCTTGGCAACGGTGCGATCCAAACGCATGCCATACTGTTTCAATGGGGTAGTTTGTGACAATTTAATGGCAAATTTAATGCCTTCCACCAAGACCTTGACATCACGTTCATCGGTCAAATAATTTGCAAAGATGCGTGGCGGTGCCAGCGGATCATTTGAGGCCAGTGTAATGTAACCTCTAGATTTGGGATTTAATACAGCTGGGAAAATTTGTATGCTTCTCGAGTTATTCGAAAGTAATTCACCAACTTGTCCGGTACGTGCACAACTTGCCAAATAACCACCAAAATAGTATTGTAAATCTGGTACACCGGGTCTATCGGCAAAACGTGTGGCCATTTTCGCTGTCACATCGGAAACTCCAGTACCCGACATGAGGCCATCACGGAAAAGTAAATATTCCATAGCTGTAGCCCAATTCAGTGGTGCAGTATCGGCGTCATCAATGAAGAAATTCGTGAAATAGGCCACATGGTTGTGTAAGTTTTTACCAACACCGGGTAGATCATGTATCGGGCGAACGCCAACCTGTAAAGGAAGGAAGGAAAAAAGTATTCGAGTTTAAAGAATTTATCAATCAAAACTGATGAGTATTGCAAATAAAAGAAAGTCATGTTTTAACCCAATAATTTATTTAAAAATAATACACCAACATAAAAATAGTATTTCCATTTGGGACGTATTTGACAATTTTCAAAAAAAAAAAAGCCGTTAAAATTCTGTTAAAATCTTACAAATTCGTCATATTAGGGTCCCTCTTACTTCAATAATTTTAGACTAGAGCGCACAACAGGTCTATACTGGCTTAAGTGTATGTCCACCAGGACATGTGGCGATTCTTCTATTCAACCTAACCTAAGAATTTGAAAGGTATTTTAAGGATAGTGAAGGGGGTGATATGACTCTTTTTCATACAGTGAGCAGCAAACCCGGCACAACCTATCTTTCTAGGGCCCACATGATTCCATTTTTATGCATATGACATTCCCATCAACTAGCCATCAGTTGGAACCGTTCACTCAAATTGATTATAATTTCTAGATTCAGTAGCTAGTTCTTCGATGGGTAAATTTAAATTCTTACCTTTTTCAAATCTTCCTTAGGTCCAACTCCACTCAGGAGGAGAATTTGTGGTGAATTGACAGCACCACCACTAACGACCACCTCTTTTTTCACCAAAATCTTACGCATGCTACCAAATTGATCGCTAACCTCAACGCCCAATACAGTTTTGGTGCCAGGATGGATCAAAACTTTGGTGGCTGTGGTATTCAATAGAATGTGGAAGTTTGTGCGCATACGAGCCGGACGAATGAAAGAACGTGCCGAA